AATGTCATAAGAAAGGGATCCTTGTCTGGCCAGCACTCCCTCCCCTACTTCCATGTCTAGCTTCTCTTTGGGGAGGTGGAGTAGGGGGATGTGGGAAGAGGGTGTAGTGTGAGTGGGCCTCAGAAGGGAGATGGCTGTTGGAGTGGAAGCTGGGGTCCCTCATTTCACATGTATCTTAATGCGGAACTCCTCCAAGGTTAAATTTTCAACAAGAGTCCTATTTATTAATTCGATTCCCTGGAAATGAATGACAATTAGTTGACTGGAATACCACTGTATTTGTGATCAGAATTCAAGTAGCTTGTTTTCTAATGTTTATCTACATAGGAGATGCTGCAAGGTACCACCTGATCCCCTTCAGGGAAGAACTAGATTGCTCCAGTGTTGATAGTGTTGTCAGCAAGCAGTTCAAGCCCCTCCATGGATTGCTTCACCCAAAGTCATGCTCCTTCCCTGAGTAATACTGAATGATGGATAGATGCAAGAATATTAAGACAGGGCCATTTCACCTCAGCAGAGAACATCTCTAAAAGGTAGTTCAAGCTTGAGAGCACCCCATGAGGTTAGCTAAGCCTGTTGTCAGCCTACCTTACATTTTGACTTTTCACTCTGCCCACACCAATTTCTGTTCCTTCATTTCCACAAGAGATGATCCAAGTTTACTCCTTAATAACCATCCTTTACAGAAAAATCTATTTTAGGGTTTGCTTCCCAGGGTACCTGATCTATGACAATTTACTTCAAATTTCTCTGGAATGAGGCATTGAATCTATCTTCCATCCATTCATCCATCCATCTATCTCTCTACTGTTTTTATTAAGCCATCCTGGTATCTCAAAAGATCTATTATTCTTCTTTTCAGTAATATTTCTTCAGGTTATAATAGCTATACTATCTGTTTAATTAGCTTCTAAAGATATAAATAAATGTACAATGTTTAGCATGTTGGCGTACTTTGTGATCAAATTCTCAAAGTGTAGATGTTATTGGATTTGCTAAATGAGTTTATGAAAACATTAGATTTGATTTTACCAATTTATCTCCAGGGGGCAGCAGAGAGAGAGATATCAATGCAAATATGATTAGAGAAGCTTAGAGTTTCTTTTTCTTTTTCTTTCTCTCTTCCTTTCTGTCTCTCTCTGCCTCTCTGCCACACTTCCAAACAGACAAACTATGAAGTTGTAAGAGTGCCCAACTGGAAGAATGAATGAATAGATGAATAGATTTAGGGTGGATAAGGAGTGTGGAAGATGTATTGGAGACAAGACAGAGTTGCAAAATAGTAATTAGCCATATAACTAAGAGATGAACTTTGGAGTGAGATTTCTTGTGCTTGAATCCTGTCCCCATCACTTATTAGTTGTGTGATTGAACAATACTTAACCTCTCTGGCTTCAGTTTCCTCAACTGTAAAAAGGGGATAATAATGATATTTAATTCATAAGTTTGTTGAGAGGATTAATCAAGGCCATATTTAGAAAGTGCTTGAAACAAATCCTGGACATTAAGCTAAGAACTTGACTACTTATGATGGTTATGACCACTGAAGTCTAAAATTCATATTTAGCAAAATATGAAATGTGCTTACTAATTTCTCTGCCCTGTTTTACTTTTTATTTGACATTACACTTATTTTCTTTTTAACATCTACTTCTAAATTTTTCTTTTCACAGACTTTGTGAATATATCTTGAAAAATAATGATTAACTCTCTCATTGGATATATATTTTTAAAGGAGAATTATGGAGATGACATATTGGAATTGAAAAATTTCAAGGTGAATATCAATGATAAAGAATATAAAAAATAGAAACACATTTTGTGAGGCTCTTTTAAGTTGCTCATTAGTATATTTGGTGATTGTACATGGAAGGATTTCAAATGAGTATTCAGAACTTGGGTCTACAAAGATTGTAGGGAAGTGAATTGCAGAATAGGGAAATAGGATATGGCTTGAAGAGCAGCCATTTTGGGCAGTCATTGCATTATAGTGCCTCTGTGGTGGTTCATTAGCCTCATATCTCTAAACATTGTTCCATGAGGGTAGGGAGGAAGTGAAATAAAGAGTGGAGTGTTGTGGAGTATGAGTTCCTTGAAATTCTTCCTACTGTTAAGCATTGTTCTTTTACCTCTATGAAATTGTGACATTAGTACATGGGCAGCAGTCGGACAGGGTAGATTGAGGGACTTGGCACAATTGTTCAGTAGTATGTTCGTGTGAGTATGCAAGTGTGCGCACACTATGGAAGGGGAAGTCAGGCCACATGTGTAAGTCAGAGAGTTCACAGAAAGGAAAAATTACAAGGCAAGTAGGTATTAGCTCATTTTTGTAAAGATACACATCCAGAAAATTTAGTTAAGGTATGAGAGGCAAGCAGGTACTTGAGTTCTAGGAAGTCAAGACTCAAGTGTAGTTGGTGAAAGAGCAGGCAATAGAGAACAAAAGATCAGGAATAAAAAGGCCATTAGTGTCTTTGCAATGAGTATTTAAAATCCATGCAAAGCTTCTACATAATGTGGAGGGGTACCAATGGCAAGATAGCAATGTCTTCTACCTGGCTTTAGATTGTGGTTAAGTCTGAATCTGACACTGAAGACAAAGAAATATACCTGACTGGAAAAAGTTTACTTCAAAAGCATTTATAGGCAGATAAATCAATAATGCAAATTTGAGGGCATTATGTCTAAAAGCTCTAACTCACTAAAGCTTACCAAGCCTTTTTGTTTTGGCCACTACGACATCAATTAGTGTAACATTTTTTTGTTAGTTTCTCATGTGCACTGATTCTTAATTGGTAGTATTGAAAAGGAGTTGAAAGACTGGCGGAGTTAAAGTTTTGAATTTCTTGTTTGAGCTGCACCTTTCTCTTGGTCTTATCTTGATCTTTTGCTCTGCTTTTTTTTGGACCTGGTGCCCAAGGGGCACAGCTAAGGAGAATCTGAGTCCTTTAGATTTTTCAGAGATATGCATTTACTAGACAAGCACATTTTTCCCTGATGATATTGACTTTCATGGCATATCTTTGGTGGATGATTAAGCTAACAAACATTTGGTCCCTTTATTGTTCTTGCCAACATCCGCTCTCCATAAGAGGTAAAGGTAGGAGTTGAGAGGTTGTGGAGGTGCAGTTTGGGTGGAGGGGATAAAGGAGTGGGAAGAGAAAGTTTCATCATCCCAAATCTGCTTCAAGAATTCTATGGTTTTTGACACCACTCATTTGACGATTAAACTGCTGATTTTAGATTGTGGTCTGACCTGTGATGAGTGCATGAAAGTGTGTCTATGAAAGTTGTTGCCTGAAATTTCATACTAGAAGAGTTGAGTGGAAAGAACACAGGGCTAGCAAACATGAAACATGAGTTTTACTTCCGGCTGTGGCACCAAGTATCACCTTCTGTGCTTTAGTTTTGGCTGTTGTCATTGGACAGGCATTAAAATAAATGATCACTAAGAATTTTTGATGACATAAGAAAATGCTCGTGTAAGTATAATATAAATGAAAAATAAACAAACAGGTTAGTAACTTGATGAAGAAACATGCCTAATATCATCAGACTAGTAACTGCTGAGCAGAGACTCAACCCCAGGTCCATCTCTTGTCAAAACTCACGACTTTAACTACTATGTACCTTAACATCAATGTGGTGGAAACCAGATGCTATGTCTCAAATTACATTTCATCACTGATTTTCTGACATCTAGTAAAATATTAGACAGCAGGAAAGTTGTTTTTGCTATAGTCCACCATTGTCACATAGCTCATATCTTTAAATATTCCATATCTTTAGGCCCTCAAGCACTTGATTTCACTGTATTGATCAAATTGATTCACTGGAAGGAAAGCTGTATCAGGGGAAGGGGAAAAAATATATATAGCTTACTATTTGGCAAGAGGAAAGATGAAACTGCTAACTTAAAAGAAAAAAATGCATGTAGTTTAGTTCTTTTTCTGTTTTCAATGTTTTCCTCCCCTTCCTGAAGAGTTTGCCTTGAGGTAGGAAATTCTTAGCACATTGTGAGTTTCTTTCTTCCCATAATCTAAATGCATATTAACTAGCACATTAAGGCAGAGGGGTTTTTTTTTTTTTTTCGTAGTCTCAATTTCAGCTCTGTCATAACTAAAGATGGGTGTTTATTTGTAATTTGATTCGAATAATCAGTCTAACTCTTCAAAAGTGAAAATAAATACCAAATTTTGATAGACAGAGTAATGGCCCCCCAAGATGTCTATGACCTAACTTCTGAAACTTGTAAGTAGGTAAATTACATGGGAAAAGGGACTTTGAAGATGTGGTTAAGTTCAGGATTTTGAGATGAGGTGATTATCCTGGATTATCTGGGTAGTCCAATATAATCACAAGAGTTTTTATCAGAGGGAGGTAGGAAGGTTACAATCAGAGAACATGACAATGGAACAGAGGTTAGAAAAGATGCAGCTACAAGCCAAGGAATACTGGTGGCCTCTAGAACCTGGAAAAGTCAATGTGTTTGGGAAGAACATAGCCCTGCTGGCCCCTTGATTTTAGTTTGGTAAGATCCATTATGCACTTCTGACCTCTGGAATTGCAAGATACATTTGTGTTGTTTTAAGCCACTCAATTTGTGGTAATTCGTTACAGTAGCAATAGGAAAGTAATGCACTTAGGATGTTTCTAGAGTTGTAAATATTATAGACAGTAATTCTTTTGTGCAAGAATTTTTAAGGGAGAATATTTTATTATAAACTTTATTACTGAGGCTTTCCACCTCTTTAAGCTAGAGAAAGCTTCTAAAAGTTATCATGACTGGAAAGTTTAAAGGGATGGACCAAAAATAGGTAAATATCATGGTTTGCTTTTCAATCCAAGTTTAGACAAATTCGTTAATCTTGGGCACAGTCAATGCCTTACTGTAAAGTTTATCTGTGCACAGCAGAAGTGAGAGGAGGACCAATGAGCTGAAAGATAATTCAATCAATCTGCTTCCTCTGTCTTTGCTTCTGTGCTTCATACAGGAAATATAATGCTGTGTCAAGTTCCAGAGAAGAGTTTCTTCTGTTCCAAGTTACTAATCAGGCTAAAACAAAAAGAGTTAAAAGAAGAGGCCAGGAGAAAAGGAGCGTCCCACTGCTGATGGGCTAAGAGGATTCAGCACAGAGAAGTCAACCAGAAAGAGCCTCACCATGCCCACAGCTCCTTTGATACCTGTGTGGAGAAGTACTGAGTGAAGGGCAGAAAACAAGAGAACAGAAATGCCCTGTGCTTGGAGAACTTCTGACCTACAGCTACTACTGATTTTGAGTGTCTTCTTAGTGGCTGGTAAGTTAGAATTATCTTTAGGAGAGTCACAGGAGAATGACTGGTGAGAAACCTGGTCTCAGCTTTTCCTGGGCGTTCTTTGCCTTTCTTATGGAGCAATATAAGATAAATGCAATCACAGAGAACGGGGAGGGAAGTTGCTTCTAGATTTGTTCCACTTTATTATCCTGGTTTTCCTCTTTGTCTTACTTATTTTACTTGGAATCCTACTGAAGTACACACATTTCTATGATTTGCTTCACTGCCACTATCTTATTTTCCCCTCCCCCCCTTTTTTGAATGAGGCAGAATAAGTTAAATAATTTCTAATAGCAGTCTAAGTCATCTGGCTTCTCTTTATCTTCTTATCTCTTTATAAAAAAATTAAATAATAATTCTGACACATTTAGGTCAATGTTGTTAGCAGTATAAATTAGGAAAGTCAATAGCTTTCTATAACTTTCTACAACCAGGTGCTTTTTAAAATATACTCACAGTTTGGAGGTGCATTTGTGATATATGTGTTATTTATTTTTAAAATGTGTATCCTGTAAAAGACACTTTCTGTGCTGGGGGACACACTCTTCAACGTCTAGGTCCCTGTGGGTGTTGTAGAGATCTTGGGACTACTGTGGGGGTGTCCTGGTTTCACTATAGAGAGTAGAGGGTTGGTAGTCGATGTGCGAAGGAGTTTTCAGGTTTCACTTTAAGTAGATGGAAGCAGTGGCAAGGAAGCGATGTAGTTGGTTTAATTTTTTTTAATTTTAGAATTAAAAGAAGAAAATGTATTTTTTCTCAAATGAATAACTTGAAAATGCCTATCTTACAGCAAAAAGTCTGTTTTCCGTATGATAATCTTGCTGGTGACACACAAAATAACCATACTCTGTCACTGTACCTATGCAAAATTTTCACACACTTTTTTCCTTTGATCTGCACAGTAACCCAGTGAAGGAGGCACGGAAGACATTTCTCCATTTTACAAAGGTAGAAACTGAAGCTTAGACAGATGAAATGATTTGTCCAACACTACTAGTACATGGCAGAGTCACATCCCCTCACATCTATAAGCATCACTAAACATTTGAATAGATAATTTCCCTCGATATTTAGCTATTATGCTTTTCATTAAGGAGCACCACTATTTATAACACCACTGAAAAAAAGTTAAACCAGTACTGGGTTATAAACTTAATGGACTATTTACTCATTAAAAAAAAAAAAAAATCAAGTAATTTGAATCTTTCAGTAGTTGAGATCTTGTAGAAAGCTCTTATAGAAACCTGTGGAGGGCCCAACTTGTCAGAGAAGCCAGGTAAGCAAGGAGTATTTATGTCAAATTGCACTATGACTTTTAGGAAAACATAATCAATAATTTTGAATTTTAAAACTATTTCTAATTACATTTAGGAGACACTACATACATCAAATCTCTAAGGTCTGTGCTTGTATAATTGTAAAATTATCTAAATGTTTAGAATCAAGATATAAAAAAGCAAATTACTTTATATGCTGTGATTTGGCATGATAAATTCACCATGAAATCATTTAGAATAATGAGAAGCAAACTACTTGGGGCATAAATTTATGCCTCTAGTACCACTTTGTTATTCATACTGCCAAATAGAAATAACTCACTTTAATATACAAAGATAAATTAACAAAGGGGCAAGGGAGTTAGTGATTTCAATGTAAAACATAACATTAAAAAAAAAATCTATTCACCTTTTTCTTTACTAATTTGCTTATAAATTCAAGCAATGTGGTAGTCGGTAGACAAAGTTTATTGGGAAAAGAGCTGAGGGGAATAATTAAAACACCCTAAGTTGTCTACTGCAGAGCAAACTCACAACCCTGTGCCTGGTCTGCCTTCTTAGCATTCCTTTCCCTCCACACCACTGCCTCCTTATTTTAGCCACTTATCTTCTAGTTTTTCCTGTGTTCAAATTATATTTTGCTATTCCAATCAATATGATCTATCTTTTACAAAAGTCACTGATATTGATATTACGAATTATTGAAAAGGAATCCACTACTCTTTTTTTTCTTCCTTGGGCTAATTTTGACCATTTGTCATTGTCTTCCACTAGGGGGCAGGCAGTAACAAGAAGAGATAAAAATCGAGACAAGACTGTTTAGTTAGCTTCAGCAGGTTCACAAAAGATGGAAAAAGAGATTAAAAGCAATTGTGAAAGTAAAAGGTGTTTGTCCTTATTAATTTCAGCCCTCTCTTCTTTTTCTAGTTTGTGATAGTTGCTAATTTACATATTGTAGTAATTCTTAAGTGTGTTTTCTCTAAATATCCATCTTTAAGAAATTAATCAGAAATCTTTATTAAGAACACTGAGTGTGCATGGAGGAGTCTGTGTGTGCATGTGAATAGTGCCTAAAAGTTATTAGCAATCTAAATTAGGGGAATCAAGCTAAGATGACAATTTAAGAGAAAATTTTAAATCATTCGGTCTTGAAATTGTCCATGACTCTAGTAAAAATCTCCAAATGGGAGAAATTATGGTGGGTTAGAGTTGTCACAGGCTTTATAGAAGAGATGGGTCTCGAGCTGGGCCTTGAATGATAGATTTGGATTGATGAGGAAAGGCACAGATACAAATCGGGAGGAGGGGATATGCAGTGTGAACAAAGGCAGAGTGATTTGAGGAGAGAAAGAATTCTAAGCTTGATGGAATGGAAATAGTGTTACATGATCATAGGAAATAAGGTTGAATCTCAGGGGCCCTTGATAGCTAAACAGAGGAACTTGGATACTGTGCAGTAAACATTGAGGAGCCATCTGTTGTATTGTGAACAGGAAAATAATATAATAAAACAATAATTTTTGAGAATAATATGACAGCAGTTTTCTGTTCAGTGGGAGTGACACTTGGTAAAAGATTTATTTTGAAGCAGGAGAGAAGAGCTCCTACCCTTGGGTTTCCATTTTAGGAAGTCCTATGATTCTGCTGTGAGACATTGGTGGCTGAGAAGGGAAGTTTCTTTGCAGAGGAAGATGTTAAATTTAGTACAGTGAGGGGGAACAACTAGGAGGAAAATTCCTATAGGTTCTTGGAAGTATAGCACAGTCCAGGGTTTGTGAATCATTCGCGGAGTGGAGGATCTCACAAAGAGAGTACTCACAGAGATAAATGTAGTAAATTAGGTACTAGAGATTTTTGTAATTGAGTCCTAGGAGTGATAATTATTTCTCTCTCTCTCTCTCTCTCTCTTTCTCTCTCTCTCTCTCTTCTCAGTAATGGAAAGCAAGATCTGAGAAGAGCTGGGAAGAAAGACAATCTGGGATATAGATAGAGTTCTTAAACTTAAGTAAGAAGAAGGAAACCTCTGAAATTGAGAAGTAAGATGAGAAGTTAAATATAGGGATGTTAATAAATTGAGAATAGGCATAAGGAGATGAGAGAGCTCCACAGTAGATAAGTTGCCTCCCAATAAGGTCATGAATATTTCAGTTGATGGTGCTAGGGAATAAAATAACTCAGTTATCATTTGGTTTCATGTTGTATCTGAAAAATCAGTCTGCATAATGACTAACATTCAGTAATCATCGATATACTTTTCCTCTTCCTCTTTGCTATCACTGACACACATTTGATAACTCCTGACTGGGATTAGGAAGCAGACCTGAGGTTATGAAAAAGCTTTGGACTGTATAACAAAACTCATGTAAGAGTCACAATCAGCTAACTGTTTCTATGAAGTAACACATTATTTACGCATTAACAATGAACAAACAATTTTGAGATTTTCTTAGCTAAATTAGTTTATATGACTTGTCTGCCTCCCAAACCTGGAAACCATCTTAAGAACAAAATCCTATTTATGTTTAAGGAAGCAGGGTAGAAAAATACCAAAAACATGACTATAAGATTTTAGAAGCAAACCATTTTCTTTAAAAATATCTGTTCCTTTGAGTTGTTGATGCTGTTGCAGGCTCTCCAGAAATTAGACTCTGAGAAAGAGTTTAGAGTAGAGAATGTTTATTAGGGAGGACACTTGGAAGAAACATCTGGAAGGAAGGGCAAATTTTCAGAGGGAGATGTTTATCTGCAGTCTCAACTCTTGAGACCCTCATCAGATAGCCATGGGGAGCTGTGGAGTTAGAATGGCCTTAGAGAGGCCCTGCACTGAATCAACCTGGCGGGGCCTTTATACATTCATCTCAGTCATTCATTGGGTATGGGATGTCCTGAGAACGGTCTGCTTTGGACAAAGTAATTGAGATGATTCCTGAAGATGCTGAGAACTAAAGGCTGTCTGACAGTAGTGTTCCTAGTAGTAAGAGCAAAGAAGTCATTCCTTGACCATAGCTGCCGTTTCTACTTCTCTTTATTCCTTCCATATTTCTGAGTTTGTTTAGTATTATTATTTCCCATCAGCCTAAATAATTTCTTTTATTATCATTAGTGGTGTAGACCTGCCTGTGAGAAGTTCTCTTAGTTTTCTTTTATCTAAATATGCCTCATTCTTGACCTACATTTTTGCTGGATATAGAATTCTGGGTTTTATTTTCTAGCACTTTAAAAATGTTGTCTTATCATTTCTGGTGAGAGAGCAGCAGATACTCAGATCATCACTTCCCTTAATATAATTTGTCATTTTTTATTTTCTCTTTCAAGATTTTTTCTTTATTGTTGTTTTTAGACATAAAATGTGTGTAAGTATGGTTATTTTCATATTTATCCTGCTTGGGGGATTACCGAGATTCTTGAATCTGTAAATTTATGTTTTTTAGAAATTTTAGGAAAATTTTAATCACTATTTCTTCAAATAAATTTTCTTCTAACTTTGTCTCTCCTCTTCTTTTAGAATCCAGATTATACATATGTTCGAAGGACTTTTGCTACTTCATCACAGGTCTCTGTGACTATTATGTTTTTTCTTTTTAAAAATTTTTTCTCTTTTATTTAGAGTGGATAATTTTTATTGATATTTCAATTTTGCTAACAATTTCCTGTCTCATCTTTATTCATGTATTAGGTCCATTCATCTGAATATTTTATTTCCGA